GGACTGACCATCCTGGGGACTGACCATCCCGGGCACTGACCATCCCAGGGACTGACCATCCCGGGGACTGACCATCCCAGGCACTGTCCATCCCAGGCACTGACCATCCCAGGGCACTGACCATCCCAGAGCACTGACCATCCCAGAGCACTGACCATCCTGGGCACTGACCATCCTGGGCACTGACCATCCCGGGCACTGACCATCCCAGGGACTGACCATCCCACAGCACTGACCATCCCAGAGCACTGACCATCCTGGGCACTGACCATCCCAGGGACTGACCATCCCAGGGCACTGACCATCCCGGGCACTGACCATCCCAGGGACTGACCATCCCAGGGACTGACCATCCCGGAGAGTGACCATCCCAGGGACTGACCATCCCAGGGACTGACCATCCCAGAGCACTGACCATGCCAGGGACTGTCCATCCCAGGGACTGACCATCCCGGAGAGTGACCATCCCAGGGACTGACCATCCCAGGGACTGACCATCCCAGAGCACTGATAATCCCAGGCACTGACCATCGCGGGGACTGACCATCCTGGTGGCCGCAGGTTGCCAGCACCACACTGCAGATGCAGGGAGCGCTGGAGCAGCACCTGGCACGGCTGAACGAGCTCCTGGCCTCGCGGGGGGATTACCTGCAGTCCCTCAAGTTCACGCAGCAGCTGGCTGGCAGCATTGTCCTGCAGCTGCAGGGGCTGCCGGCCTGGCGGGGCGTCAGCGCTGACCTCACCGAGCTGTCGGGACAGGTGGCCTATGTCGAGTATTACCGGTGAGCTCCAGCGTCCCGGGATGTCCCAGGGGGGCTGGGGAGGTGGCCATGTGTGACAGAGCCTTCCTCTGCACCCAGGTGGTTGGCTTACCTGCTCTTCTTCATCCTCGTCCTCACCGTCTGCCTGCTGGCCTGCCTGGGGCTGGCCAAGCACTCCCGCTGCCTCCTGCTCTTGTGAGTACCCTGGGCACGGCCTCGGGGGGCTCAGGGGACCCCCAGCCATGCTCCCCACTCGTGCTGCCCGCTCTCCCTGCAGGATGCTGTGCTCTGGGCTGCTCATGCTGGTCCTCAGCTGGGCCTCCATGGCCGTGGACACGGCGGCTGCGGTGGTGAGCGGGGCAGGAGGGGAGGGAAGGGCTGCCCGGGCTGTGCCGAGCGCTGCGGCCGTCAGTGACGTCCCTCTGCCCCACAGGGCACCAGCGACTTCTGCGTGGCCCCGGACAAGTTCATCATGAACCAGACGGACGATGAGATCAGCACAGGTGAGGGCTGGCTGTCAGGTGGAGGCGGGCAGGAACCCAAAACCCACCTGGGGGTCCAGTGCCCCCCACTGCCACTGTCCCCCCACAGCTCCCTGTGCCCCAGGGTGCTCCTGCTGACGTTCCCATTCTCTCTGCAGAGGTGGTTCATTATTACCTGTACTGTGACCAGAGCCTGAGCAGCCCCTTCCAGCAGGTACGGGGGGGGTGGGCACCCCCTTTGGTGCTTCCTGGGGCTGGGGGGTCCGTGACTGTTCCCCACTCCCCCCTGCAGGCTCTCACCGTGTTCCAGCGCTCGCTGACCACCATGCAGATCCAGATCCAGGGGCTCATCCAGTATGCACTGCCCCTCTTCCCCACAGCTGAGGTACAGGAGGGGGGAGCAGGGGTCCCCGTCCCTCTCTCTGCTCCCCAGAGCTGGCTAACCCCCTTTTCCCACAGAAAGACCTGCTGGGGGTCCAGAAGCTCCTCAACTCCTCGGAGACCAGCCTGCACCAGCTGACGGCCCTGCTGGACTGCCGGGGGCTGCACAAGGTGAGGGGGGGCTGACTGAGGACCAGCTCTGGGGTGCCCCTGCGGTGCCACCAGCGCTGCCCTGCCTGTGTCCCACCAGGATTACCTGGATGGCCTCATCGGGATCTGCTACGACGGCGTGGAGGGGCTGCTCTACCTGGGGCTCTTCTCCCTGCTGGCGGCCGCCGCCTTCTCCACCGTGATCTGCGCGGCCCCGCGCGCCTGGCAGCAGCTGGCGGGGCGGTGCGTGTGCCCCAGACCCCTGCCCCAGACCCCTGCCCCAGGCCCCTGCCCCAGGCCCCTGCCCCAGGCCCCTGCCCTCACCCTGGGCACAGAGACCCCCACTTTGGCACGCGGGGCGCGAGTGCCAGCGCCGTGTCCCCACAGGGAGCGGGACTACGACGACATGGACGAGGAGGACCCGTTCAACCCTCAGGCGCGGCGCATGGCGGCGCACCGCCCGCCCCGGGGGCAGCTGCGCAGCTTCTGCAGCTACAGCAGCAGCCTGGGCAGCCAGAGCAGCCTGCAGCCCCCGGCACAGACCGTGTCCAACGCCCCCGTCTCCGAGTACATGTGAGACCCCCCGAGCCCCCAGCGCGGCCAGGGAGCCCTGCTGGGGACGGGGGTGACGGGGGTCTCGCTGTGCCCCCAGGAACCAGGCCGTGCTCTTCGGAGGGAACCCCCGCTACGAGAACGTGCCCCTCATCGGCAGGGGCTCTCCTCCCCCCACGGTACGATGGGCGGCCGAGGCCAGACCCTTGTGACACCCCGGGGAGGTCACTCTGCGTCTGCTGGGCGGGACAGGGACGGGAGATCCCGGTCCCTCCTGCCCAGCCCAGCACCATTCCCGGCCACCCACGGGGAGGGGGCACAGCCACACGCTGGGGGACACCAAAATAAGCCTCCCCTCCCTCCCTTTCCTGTGCTTCCTCTCCATCCTGGCTCTCAGAGGATGCTCCTCGCAGTCTCTCCCTTCACATTCCCATTTCCCTGCTCGTTAATCCTGCCCTGTCTGGTATTGCTGCTTCATTTTTTTATTCCTTGTCTTTTTTTCCCCTTTTTTTTTCTTTTTGTTTTTCTTTTTTGTTTTTCTTTTTTTTCCTTTTTTTTGTGATTTCTTTTAATTTTTTGCATCCATTATTTTGGAGCTAAGTTGCCCATCAAGAGTAAGTTCAGCCCCTTCCTTCTCCCTCCTTATCCCGGGGCAGCAGCCAGGTTCTCCCCTCCTCCTCACCCTTCCACACCTCCCTCCATCCCCTTTTCCTGCTTGGCTTTTGGGGTGCAGAGAGCTCAGGAAGGGGGGACAACAGGCCAGGAGGATTTTCAGCTCCCACATGTTGGGATGCTGGTCCCTGTCTCCATCCCTGCAGCAGTGAAACCCCTCCCAGGCAGGATATGGCTCCAGGAATGCTGCCATGGCAGGAATACTGTCACTCTCCTCCAGGGATGATTTTTTCTATCAGGTGGAAGCTTGGATCCCATCTCCCAGACCTGGCAGCTGGCGAGAGCCTCCTCCCAGGGGGGAACACGAGTGGGGGGATTAATTGGAACGCTTCTCCCAGGCCTGAATAGTCTAATTTACCCAGGATTCAGATCCCTGAGGAAAGGCTTTCCGAGTCCAGAATAACAAACTCGGAATAATCTTCCTTAATGCCTGCCCGGGATGATCCTCCCTGCTGGGAAATCCTGGAGGAATGTGGTCCGGTGGGGGCTGGAGGCTTGGGCTCGCTGGCACCCCACAGACACACCCCACGGGCAGATTTGGGATGAATTTGGGAAGGTGGATGAACCTGGGAAGGGACAAAGCAGAGCTGGACGGGCTGGAAGGGTTTTGGCTTGGGGAGAGCAGGTTCTGACCCTTTCCGTGCCCACCTGGCGGATTAATCCCGAATTAATTTGGGATTAACCCGCACGGGAACACCCCGCGGGGCTGCGTGGGGCCTTCTGGGGTGCTGACCCCTGTGTACCCCCCCAGTACTCCCCGAGCATGAGGGCCACGTACCTGGCGGTCACCGATGAGCACGTCCGGCACCGCGGCGACTTCCCGGCCTAGGAGGAGATCCCGCCGGGAAACCAAAGAGCCTGGAGGGAGAGCATGGGGTAGGAGACACGGCAGGGCTGGAGGGCGAGCCTGGAGCCCCCCAGCACCCCCTGCCCTGGGCACCCCCCATCCTGCTGCCCCACAGAGCGCGGAGGGCTCTCTGCTGGCTCCTGCTGTCCCCGCGGCAGCTCGGAATGTTCCAGAGCGTGAAGCCGGGCCAGGCTGCCCCGGGGTGCGGGCAGGGGCTCCCGGAGCAACGCAGCACCAACCACTCGTGGTGCCACCCCCTTCCCGAGCCCTGCCCCAGCGCCCCTCGCTGCCCCAGCCTTCCCAGGATGAGGAATTACCGATGTTTTGGCCTTGCTGGTTTCCCTGCGCTTTGCCCCCGGGATTTGGGAGGTGCTGGTTCTGTTCCAGAAAGGGGTCACTGCCGTGGGGTTTGTAGCGGGTTTTGGGGTGGGTTTAGGCTCTTTTTGGCTCTCCCAGGCAGGTGTGGGCTGGGGCAGGCTCCCCCTCCTCCTGCAGCCCTGGAGTGGTCACACATCCCCTGGGTGAGGGACGAGAACTGCTGGCAAGGGACAACATTGACCTGCCACCCTGGGAGGCTCATTTCCAGGGCTCCAGGGTGAGGAGCTGGGAGAGCAGTGCGAGCTGAAGGTGGCCCTTTGGGGCTGCCCTTTGGCACACGGATCCCCAGGAAGGGCCCCTTCCCCCTGGAGCAGGGATGGACCCCCCGCCCCGCCCACCCAGACCCAAAGGGTGCAGACAGGGCCAGGACATCCCCCTGACTCCCCTTCTCCGCATTCCCCGTGACTAGCATCCCTCCCATTTGGGAAATCCCGAGGGATTTTTTTTATTTTTTTGGCTTTTAACGTTTCCATGTAAGGGTGCTGGTAGAAGAGCTGTTGTAACCGCATGTGAACTAACCAAAGGGCTCCGGCTGGGAGCTGGAGTCCGGCTGGATTTGTTTGTGCCCTTTGGGGAGAAAAGATAATAAACACTTGGACTAAACTGCTGTCTCCCGTGCGGGTTTTTGGGGGGATAATCACTTTTTGGGGGGTCATTCAGTGTTTGGGGCACTTCCGCTTTGACCTTCCCAACACGGCGGGAGGTCACGTGACGTCGCGCCGCCGCCATTGCTGTGAGGGCGGGGTCACGTGACGTCCGAGCGGATGTCACGTGATGATGTCACGCTGTTGCCTGGCAACGGCGCCGCGTCCCCGGGTAGGCCGCACCGGGACGGGACCGGGCCGGGCCCTGCCGGGGTCCCGGCGCCTCCGCGGGGTCCCGTGTCACCCCGGCTGCTGCATCACTCCGTCCCTGTGGCTCAGCTCCGTTGTGGCACTCCCTCAGCCTCTCGCTGCCTCTCGCTGCCTCTTGAGGCCCTCTCAAGCTCCTCCCCGCGCAGCATCCCTGCTCGCATTTGGGGTTTGCCGAGGTTCCCGTTCCCTTTGGGATCTTCTGGGACTCCCTGAGCGTCTTGTTCCCTTTTGGGACATTCCCAAGGACCACACAGTTTTCTGAGGCTCTAGAGGGTCCCCGCTCCCTTTTGGGTTCCTCTATCCGAGACCCCATTCCCTTTTGGGGCTCCCCGAGGTTCTCAGTCTATTTCAGCATCCTCCCTCTCCAGGGTCTGTGTTTACATTTGGGTCTCCTTGAGGCTCCCATTCTTTTTTGGGGCCCTTCATCCCTGAAACCCTCGCTCCTTTTTGGAGCTCCCTGAGATCCCCGCTCTCCATCCCTGAAAACCCCACTCCCTTTTGGGATCCTCTCAGAGGCTCCCACTCTCCTTCGGAGCTCTCTCTTCCTCCCTGAGGCCCCTGCTTCCTTTTAGGCCTCCCCAAAGCCTTCCATCCCCTCTGGAGCTCTCCATCCCTGAGGCCCCCGCTCCTTTTTGGGGCTACCTTGGAGGCCCCTCCCTCCCCAGCCCCCCTGGTCCTTCCCATTCCCTCCCACCATGGAGATCAAGTACGAATACTCACGGAAGCGCAGGGAGTTCGGGCGGCCCTGCAGCTTCTCGGACCTCCTGGCCGAGGTGACCGTGGACATCCCGCCCGACCCCAGCCTGGCCGACGACTTCATCCCCCAGGACCCCGTGGACTTCAGTGTGCAGGAGGGTCCCCTCATGGCCGTGCACGAGGTACGGGGACACCCCTGGCCGGGTGAGGGGACGTCCCGGCATGGCGGCCACGCGGGGGGCAGCTGGCCCGAGGGGACAAGGTGTGACAGGCACCTTGTAGCAGGTTTTGGGGTGGGTTTAGGCTCTTTTTGGCTGCCCCGGGCAGGTGTGGGCTGGGGCAGGCTCCCCTCCTCCTGCAGCCCTGGAGTGGTCACACATCCCCTGGGAGAGGGATGGGAACTGCTGGAGCATCCCTGGGAAGGGACAACATGGAGCTGCCAGCCTGGGAGGCTCATCCAGCATTTCCAGGGCTCCAGGGTGAGGAGCTGGGAGAGCCCTTTTGGGCTCAGGGGCTCTGACCCCTCCTGTGTGCCCAGGTGAACACGGAGCGGACGCAGGTGTGCAGCCGGGGTGTGAACCACGTGGAGGGCGGCTGGCCCAAGCACATCGACCCCAAGAACTCGGAGCTGACCACCCGCTACCGGGAGGAGGTGGAGAGGGAAGAGATCTACACCAAGACTATCCAGCGCCTCGGCTTTGTAAGAGCCTGCCCTGATCCCCCCCAGGCCCCCCGCGCCCCCCAGAGCCCCCCAGAGCCCCCCAGAGCCACGGCCGTGCTGTCCCTGCAGGTGATGGAGCACTACATCAGGCAGAACAACACCATCGACATCTACCAGGAGTATTTTGAGGAGGAAGAAGAGGAAGAGGAGGAGGAGGAGCATCCCTCAGCCAAAACCATCAATGTCATCAGGTGGCGCAGCTGGGGGGGGTTCACCAGAGCCTCAGGGGGGTCAAATCACCTTCCAAGAAAATGGGAGAACGTTAGGAGTTAAATTCCAGTGGGTTTGGGATGGTCCTGGCGCAGTCTGTGGGGGGAGAGACCAGCTGAAGCCTTCCTGTCCCACCACTCCCTGCCCAGGTGATTTAGGGATGGGAATCAGGGTCAGACACAGCTCTGAGCATCTCTTCATGGTGCTCTTGGATTTTCCTTCTTATTCTTGGTGCCTCAAAGGTTAATTTCCACATCAGGGGTGTTCAGGAGTCAGATCCAGTAAGATAATTGGATTTTTAGAAAGGTATGACTGGAAAGACGATGAAATCATCAACTCTCTCCCCCCGCCCAACCCCTCAGGAGAATCATTTCCTGCACTCAAGGCTTGAGGGCTGCAGATTGGTTTCCTTGTGGTTCCCACAATTCCCTCTGGGGGATGTTCATCCCGGGGATTTGCAAACTGACCCGTCCTGGCTGATGTGTCACCCCAAAGGGACCCCAACACGCCCAGGAGGATGGCCACGCACCTCTCCTGGCACCCCGACGGCAACAGGGCCGTGGCCGTGGCTTATTGCAGCCTGGACTTCCAGGACAGCAGGAAGGACATGAGCTCTGATTCCTACATCTGGGATCTGGGTAAGGGCAAGGCCAGACCCACCAGGCAAGAGGGGAAGCATTTGTGTCTCAGAGAGCGGGATGAGGCCTTGCAGCACCCCGGGGAGGGTCACTGGGGGAGCCTCAGTGCAGAGACAGGGAGAAACGGGAGCTGGGAGGTGGGAAATAACCACTGAGGTCCCACTCCACGCTCCCCAGCTGTGCCAGGCAGCAGAGCCTCACCTGAGGCTCTTGTGTTGATGTGGCTCCGCTGGTAATGGAGGGAGGAAGAGGCAGCAGGAGCCCAGGGTGAGACTTGCCCTGATCTGTCCAAGCCTGCCTCACACCTGATGTGTTTTGGAGTGAAAAGGACAAAGAAGAAGGCTGGGAATGCAGATTTGTGTACTGAGGGTCTGTCCCCAGGCCAGCTCCCGGTGACACGGGCACCTCATCCTGCACAGCTGTGTCAGGGAACGGGGCGGGCACAGCAGGGTGGGCTGGGGGCTCCTTTTGTGGGGCTGCCTTCACCCTTTGCTCTTCACTCATCCCTCCCTCGCAGAAAAACCCCACATCCCAGAGCTCAGCCTCAAGCCCTCCTCCCCTGTGGTGACCCTGGAGTACAATTCCAAGGACTGGCATCACGTGCTGGGAGGCTGCTACAACGGGCAGATAGGTGAGGGGGTAACCCTGCTCCGGGCTGGCTCCTGCCCTGTGCACTGCCAGCAGCACCAGGAGCACGGCGGGAACCGGGATTCACCTGCGGGCACCTGTGTGCTCACCTGGCACCCACGGAGGGGAGCACACCCTGCCAGGGAACCCTGCACAGCGGGGGGATGGAGGGATGGAGGGATGGATGGATGATGGATGGATGGATGGATGGATGGATGGATGGATGGATGGATGGAGGGATGGATGGATGGATGATGGATGGATGATGGATGGATGGATGTATGATGGATGGATGGATGGATGGATGGATGATGGATGATGGATGGATGGATGATGGATGGATGGATGATGGATGGATGATGGATGGATGGATGATGGATGGATGATGGATACATGGATGGATGGATGGATGGATGGATGGATGATGGATGGATGGATGATGGATGGATGGATGGATGGATGATGGATGGATGGATGGATGGATGGATGGATGGATGGATGATGGATGGATGGATGATGGATGGATGGATGGATGATGGATGGATGGATGGATGATGGATATATGATGGATGGATGGAGGGATGGATGGATGATGGATACGTGGTTGGATGGATGGATGATGGATGGATGGATGGATGGATGGATGGATGGATGGATGGATAATGGATACATGGATGGATGGATGATGGATGGATGGATGGATGGATGGATGGATGGATGGATGGATGATGGATGGATGGATGATGGATGGATGATGGATGGATGGATGGATGGATGGATGGATGGATGATGGATGGATGGATGATGGATGGATGGATCCAGGGGATGAGCAGGATGGGTGCTGTGCTCCCACCTCTCCCACCACCCTGGATGATCTGTGGGAAGCACTGGGTGAGGTTTGCTCCGTGTTCCAGATTGGACACTGGGGAAAACGTGACAAGGAAAGGAGAAAGGAGCTGGGCAAGGGCTTTCCTTTTCCTTCCCAGTGTATTGGGACACCAGGAAAGGGGGGCTGCCCATGGAGATGACCCCTGTGGAGTTCAGCCACAGGGACCCCGTGTATGGAGCGTGCTGGCTGCCCTCCCGAACAGGGACCGAGTGCTTCTCAGGCTCCACTGATGGGCAGGTGAGGGGCTGCAACAGGGGAAGGGGCCAGGGGCTCCTGAGGGCTCCTGAAGGATCTTCCTGTGCCTGCTCTGCCCCTCAGCAGCACAAGATCCCGGTCTCCCAGGCTGGCACGGGGCAGCTGTAGGACTGCCAGCACCTCTGACTGTGCTGGGAGCAGCCCCCACAGCCCCTGCCACGCCTTGTCCCCGCAGGTCCTGTGGTGGGACATCCGCAAGATGTCGCAGCCCAGCGAGAAGCTGGTCTTGGACATCACCCGGCAAGATCAGCTCAAGGACGCTCTGGGTGCCATCTCCCTGGACTTTGCACCTGCCATGGTGAGTGTCCCTGTGCCCACCAGCCACACCCCGACCGGGCAGGAGGGGGAGCCCAGCCCAGGGGTTTCAGTTCCTGAACCCCCGTGGTGCTGGTGGGTCCCAGGGTTCTGGCTGCAGCGGGATCCCCCGTTGCCCCCCACACCGTGGGGTCTCCATGCTGCTGACAGCTGCACCCTCCTGCTCCCACCCCCAGCCCACCAAGTTCCTGGTGGGCACAGAGCAGGGCATCATCATCTCCTGCAACCGTGACGCCAAGACACCGCCCGAGAAAATCGCCAACATCTTCAGAAGCCACATCGGGGCTGTCTACAAGGTGACCAGGAACCCCTTCTTCCCCAAAGTCTTCCTGTCAGTCGGTGACTGGACTGCTCGGATCTGGACAGAGGAGCTCAATGATTCATCATCAATTATGGAGACCAAGTAGGTGTCAGGGGGTGTTTACTCAGCCAGAAATCATCCCCAGGGCGGGTGGCAGAGGGTTCTGGTCAGCTCTGGGCTGGAGACCGAGGCAGGGCTGTGCCAGCGTGGCTGAGGGCTGGCTCTGCTGGCAGGTACCACACCTCCTACCTGCTGGACGCCTGCTGGAGCCCCACGAAGCCGGCCGTGTTCTTCACCGCCAGGTCGGACGGGACCCTGGACATCTGGGACTTCCTCTTCCACCAGAAGGAACCTTCCCTCAGCCTCAAGGTGGGTCCCCAGCACCTCTGCGACCCACACATCAGCCCAGGGCCGAGTGTCACCAGCCAGCTGTGGCCTGTCCCAGGTGTCCAACGATCCCCTGCTCAGCCTGAGCTCGCAGGACAACGGGCACATCGTTGCCTGTGGCACCCGGCAGGGCACTGTCTCCCTCCTGGAGATCTCCCCAGGGCTCTGCACCCTCCGGAAGAACGAGAAGACCCTGACCTCCTCAGTATGTGCCAGATCCCAGCCCCACTCTGCCTGCAGCCCTGCGCTGTCCCCAGACACGTCGCAGGGTGCCCTGTGTCCCCCTTGGCCCTCAGCCCCACATCTGCCCCAGATGTTCGAGCGGGAGGCGAGGCGGGAGAAGGTCCTGCAGGAAAAATATCGGGAGCGGCTGCTGCGGGAGCAGGAGCGGCTGCGGGCCCAGCCGGAGGAGCAGGAGGATCCCCAGCAGCTGTTCAAGCAGGCCCAAGCGGATTTCCTCTCCAGCATCAAGGCGGAGCGGCGCAGGAGGGGCCTGGAAGGCTCCGGAGAGGTAACGGGGAGGGGACAGCCTGGCCACCAGGGCAGGGACCCCAGCAAGGGCAGGGGACAGGGTGAACCTCTGTCCTTCAGGATGAAGAGGGTGAGGCAGCTGCCCAGGAGGAAGCATAGGAGGATGCCAAGGTCAGTGTGCTCCAGCTGCACCTTCCTTTCCCCTCCGTGCCAGAGCTGCTGCAGGGACGAGGCCACTGTCCCCGAGCCAGGCAGATCTCCTGGGCTCTCTGCCCTCCTGGGGTGGCAAGTGGGGAACCTGCACAGCCCTCTTACCTTTGCATCTTTATTTTCTTTTGTGTGAATAAAGTGCTGCTTCCCACCTCACATTTCCTCTTTTGTCACAGCAAGATCGAGCAGAGGGTGGGAAAGTCAAGTCTTCCTGCTGCTCCTCTCCTTTCCTTGACCCAGGACACTCAAAGCCAGTGGCTGAGTGCAGCCAAGCACCCAGGGCAGCACAGGGTGTCCCTCAGTGTCCCCAGGCCATGGAGCAGGGCACAGCAGGGTGGCTGGTGGCAGCAGGGGGCCCCAGTCCCCTCTGGGCCATTTGCACAGGAGAGCCTTGTGTCCCCACAGGAGCAGCCCCGGGCTGGGTTATCAGTCCTGGGTAAACACAGCCCTGCTGGTAGAACCGGCAGCCACCCCGACTCCTCACCCCCCCTTAATTAATCATTAACAAGCTGCCAGCAGCACTGTCACAGCGATGGGCACGTCACACAGGTGGCTCTCTGTGGGCTGAGGGGGAGCCCCCCGCAGGACCCTTCCCCAGGTTCTGCTCGGGGGCTGAACACACCCATGAGTGAGCAATGCCAGGGCAGAGTTCAGGGGCCATCACCCCCCCAGAGCCATCCCAAGCAGGGACCCACATCCCCACAGGGAAATGCATCCGTGCCTGGATGGGTGTTCTCCTTCCAGGAGCTCCCTTGGCAGGAGCTGAGCTGGGGAGCAGCGTCACCCCCAAAGACGCCCCACACGTCCCACACTCGTTTTCTGCTTTATTAGGAAAGGGGTGGGGGTACCTGGACAGGGATGGGGCAGCTGCCACTGCCAGCGGGGATGGTGCCCCCCACCCGACCTCCCCTGGGGGAGGCTGATGGGCCCCTCACCCCCAGACTGGGCAGCTCCGCTTGCTCCTGAGCTGGACCCAGCTGCCCACACAGAGGGACCCCGGGGCTGCCTCACGGGAAGGATGGGCTGTCCCTGTCCCCACCCCACACCCGTTCGGGTCTGTGATGTGTCCACGGGCTGCACATTTCACCTCCTGCACCCCCTACATGGGTCTGGGGCGCTCCCAGCCTCCTCCATCCCCAGGGACAGCGATGGGGATGGGATGTGGCAGGGAACTCTCAGGGAGGGCTGGGCAGTGCAGAGCTCAGTCCTGGAGCCACCCAGCGAGGGGACCCCCATCTACCTACGGGACCAAGCGTTCCCCCCACGGCGCTGGGGCCAGCATGGCAGGACCCAGCTGCGCCTCGCTACTTCTTCACCTTGATGAGGGAGTGGTAGACAGGCTTGATGATGATGTGCAGGTGCAGGGAGTTGTCGATGAGGTACTCGGAGGTGCGTTTCTGCAGGTCGGCGTGCACCAGGAAATCGGCGGCCTCGTCGGAGCTCTGGTGGAAGCTGTAGGCGTGTTTGACCAGCACGCGGCCCTGCTGCCGCACGCCCACCAGCACGGTCTTCTGGAAGCTGACACCAGCAAAGTCGGGGCTGCTCGTGGCCGGGGTGATGACGAGGCGCGGGCGCCCGTCCTCGATGCGCACGGGCTGGATGGCGCCCGCCACCGAGTCCGAGTAGACGGGGCGCAGGCTGACGGGCAGCCAGCGCGGCGAGAACAGCACGTTCCAGGTCACCCTCTTGCCGGCGTCGTGGCTGCTGGGCCCCAGCTGGGTCTGGAAGCTGGTGCTGCGGTCGTCCCGCGCCGGGTTGGTGATGACCCACTGGGAGCCCCAGCTGGGCGCGAGGTAGTTGCGGGGCAGGAACATGCTGCAGTTGACGTCGAAGTACTTGGCGAAGTGGAGCGGGGAGGCAGCGTGGAACTGGAAGGCCTGGAAGAGCAGGTCCTGCAGCGCGCCGCGGTGCCGCGCCAGCACCGCCGACTGCGCCTGCAGCCGGAACAGCTGGCCGGGCGCGATCATGGGGTAGCGGATGGCGCGCAGCACCCGCTCGGCCACGGGCGCCTCGGGCTGCCGGCGGCTCAGCCAGCCCTCCACGGCGGTGTAGAGCTCCAGCTCGCTGTGCAGCACCAGGTCGGAGCGCTCCAGCAGCAGCAGCAGCAGCTCCACGCTCACCGAGCCCCACTCGGCGCTGCCCAGCACCGCGGACAGGTTCCAGGCCAGGAACTGGAGGCAGCTCTCCTGCAGCGCCGCGTCCCCCACGCGCACGGCGTACTGGTACCAGCCCACCACGTGGCCCTGGCTCGACTCGCTGGCCAGGTGGGTCCTCATGTATTCGGCCACGCCGCGCTGCAGCCCCCAGACCCGGTACTTGCTGGCCAGCTGGTGCATGGGGATGGCCTGGTGCAGCAGGATGGAGACCCCCCCGCAGTACAGGTACCTGGGGCAGAGCGTGGGGTGGTGACACTGGGGACATCCATCCCTGGCAGCTCAGTTCCCAGGGAAGCAGCCTCTGCCCTGGGCTGCTTTCCACTGAGTATTCCCACCCCGTGGGGTCCCCAGGGTTCCCAGGGAAGCATCCCCGCTCCTTGGATGCTTCACTCCCATTCCACGGGATCTCCATGGTCCCCAGGGGAGCATCCTCCTTCCCTGGCTGCATCCCACGAAGTCCCTAGTGGGGCATCCACCTCCTTTGGCTGCATCCCTCCAGGAATACCCATCCCACAGCACCTCCATGGTCACCAGGGGAGAATCCTCCCTCCTGGGCTGCATCCTTCCCAAAACCTACATCCCACGAGACCCCTGTGGTTCCCAAGGGAACATCCTCTTTTCCTTGCCCTCTGGGCATCCCCATCCCGAGGAGTTCCCCATGGTTCCCAGGAGAGCTGCATCCTCCTGACCTGCCCATCCCACGGGGTCCCCACGCACCTGATGAACTTCTCGAAGAGCGCGGCGGTCTCGGGTGGCTCGTACAGGGTCACGACACTCTGGTTGCGCAGGAGGCTCTCGAAGACCTCGCTCTGGAGGCTCAGCAGCAGCTGGTGCGTGTGGAACACCTTGGGCTCCTCGGAGGTGGCCGAGCGGACCCGCAGCACCGAGTCGCTGCCGTTGCCATTCTGCAGCAGCTCCTGCAGCCGCTGCAGCAGCGTCAGCGAGTGGTTGATGGTGGCCGCCGTGGAGTCCCCGCTAAAGTCGCCTTTTTGGGCTGCAGGGAGATGGGACCATCCCAGAGCTGCACCCCAGTGCCAGGCACCGAGGTGAGGTGGGGTTACTGGGGGCTGTGCGCCTCCTGCCTCCGCTCCCCCAGTGCCAAAGGGCTGCTGGCGCCAAGGGAGCATGGGGGAACAAAGGACATGGGGACATTTGTGTCCCTGAGAGCCAAAAATCTGCCTTTCTGCAGCAGAAGGGCTGAGACCACCATGTCCCAGGCTGGGGTGTGCTGGGAAATGGCCGGGTGCCGGCAGCACTGGCTCTCAGCCCAGTCTGCCTGTCCTGATCCCGTCCCCGCTGTGGGCAGAGGGAGCCCCGGGCATTGCCCTGATCCCTCACACCCGGATGGATACGTGGGGGGACAGAGACCCCGGGGTGTGCGGAGCCAGGCATGCTCTGCCCCGCAGCCAGGAACGGGGTCCCGAGCAGCCTGGGGACACCAGCTGCCCTGGTGTCCCTTCAGGTCCGTGCTGGGGAGCCAACAGGGACTGGAGATGGATCTGGGAATGTGGAACAGGGCTCTCCATGCTCCTGTGGGCACTGGGTTCCTTCTTTCCTCTCCTCTTCTCCCTCCTGACATCACTCGCACCCGCTCCTCAGAGCATCCTTCCCCCAGGGGGAATTTGGCCCCGTCTGTCTCAAATCCATCTTGCCTCTCAAATCCTGTCTTGCCGACGGATTACCCTTCCCAGCCCGGCTTAAGGCCGGGGGATGAGGAAGGGCAGTGGGGATGAGGAAGGGGAGCAGGCGCCCTGTACCCCGCGGTGCTGGACGGAGGCACCGAGCCTTCCCCGGGCACCCACCAGCGAGCACAACCCGGTTCCGAGAGCGCAGCACGTCCAGGAGCCGCTTCCATCCCCTCCCGGTGCCCCGACGGCAGCGGCAGAGCCGCGCTCAGCTTCCATCAGCCGCCGAGCCGCGCCCCGGCACCCGGCGAGGGCCGCCGTACCCACGGCTCGGGGACCCTCCGCGCCTCCCCCGCCACGGCCGCCCTTACCGGCTTGCACGGTGAGGAGGAGGAGGAGGAAGGCGGCGGCACAGCCCCAGCGGCGGGTGGCCAGGGCCCGGGTGCCGCTCAGCCTGCCCATGGCTTCGCAGGCGCATCTGCCGGGTGCGGCGCACGCTGCGCTCCCGCGGCTTATGTAGGCCACGCACCCGCGCCGCCTCATCGATTGGTGGAAATTGGGACCGGCCGTTGCCACGGGAACGGCATCCAGCCTCCCGCATCCCACCCGGACCCCAGCCCGCACCCTGGGGTGCTGCGGTGAGGGGACGTCGCCGTGTGGCACCTGCCGCTGGCACCGCCGCGCCGGAGCCCCACGCGTGGCCGTGGCGCTTTGTGCCGGGGTCTTTGCATTCAGGGCACAGCTCGGTGGCCTCCCGCTCCCCCCGGCTCATGGCTATTCATGCCGGCAGCAGCCCATCACCATGGCATCCGCGCTGCCGCCAGGAACCGCCTGCCCTTTTCCCAGCCTTTGCAGCCAAGAGGCCGCCCGAGCGCCCTGGGCGGCCTCCCTGGCCCCCCGCCCGCCCCGACACCTCTTGGGGGGCTTCACCGCGGGGCTGGGGCCCCCCAAAGCCCCACCGCCGCACTGCGGGCTGGGGTGATGCAGGGTGGGCAGGGCAGGGGCAGCGGGTGTCAGCCAAGAGGTGCCAACACCGCTTGGGCCGTGGCCCCGGTGGCACCATGGGGTGGGGACCCTGGAGCAGGACCCCAGGCGGGGGGACACATCCCACAGAGCTCGGCAAGGACACAGCAGCCCCTTACCCACTGCCGAGGAGCCCCGTACCCCACACAGCGGTTTGAGCACGGGCTTAGACAGGGCTTCCAGATGTTGAGCGTGGGCAGATGTTGCTGCAGCTGCCGAGGGGGCGGGATCACATCTGTCCCTGACCTATGGCACGGAGACTCGGGACAAGACACCGATGCCGCATTGCTGGGGCTCCCTGACCCCTTGCAGAGTCGGGCAGGTGGGCGATGCTCTGCTGGGCACGGCACCCCCAAAATCGCGGTGCCAGCAGAGCGCCCGGCTCGGGCGGGTGTCCTGGCACCGCGGGGCGCGGGGGACAGGGCCCCCGGCACGGCACAGCCGGTTCACGGCTCAGCGCGTCCTCCGACGCCTCATTTCACCGCCGGCCCGGTAAACAACAGCCGGCGGGAGCGTGTGCCCGGCGCGCCGCCGGCACCGAGCCAGCCCGGGCGGCAGCCGCAGCCCAGGGACCCCCTGAAACGTAAACTTTAAGGCATTTAGAGATTTTGAGGAGCTAAGATTTTAGTTAGAAATAAGCCTTACTAGAGTTAATTAAAATAAGAATAATAAATGAGTAGGCCTTGATGAAGTTAGGAGTTAGTAGTTAACTAATAATTAATTGCTTGTCAGCACAATGTTTGGTTAGCTGGGTTTATAATGAAGAATATAGAAACTGATAAATAGCTTTTAGGAACATAAGACAATTGTGGCCTCCTCTGTTCTGAAACCAATTGAAGACAAGGAATGGGAGTTCTACCAAGAGTTCATTTGTCATATTTGCATTGAAAAGGTAGAAAGGTCAGAAGGAGGAAGACTTCATTGACTTCCTCATTTTGGGACCCCTCCCCATGAAAGGGACACTGACCCATTTCAAGGGACAAACCACACATGCTGAATGGCTTTTGGAGTGATCAGCATACGAAGCGGGGAATGGGATGTACCAAAATGATGAATATGTTTTTGTATTTTGGGTATTCAATACTTGTATGGATAAAAGGGCTCTGTAATCACCTGGAAGCTGCGGTGTGGATTTGGGAGCGATCCCACACACAATAAACACACACTTTCTAACTTTAAACTGTTAGAGAGTTTTTGTCCATCACAGTCGGATATCGATACTAGATCAATATCCATATTTTTTTTAATAAATCACCCCATGCTGCTCATGGCGGTGAGGTGACCATGGGGGGACACGGGGGACCATGGGGCAGGTCCTGGAGGTCACCAAGGGACAGGGTGACACCCCCAGTGTGTGGTGAGGTGAGGGAGCAGCTGTGCTGGCCGGAGATTGCGGCTGAGGGCTGGCTCAGCATAGCGACCTGTGCCCGCAGCAGTGCCCGGGCATCGCCCCGCGGGCTGGGGCAGCTCTGCAGAGACCCAGGGGCCGGCAAGGGACAGCAAGGGACAGCAGCCCCCTCCCTGTGCTGCTGGGGAAACTGAGGCACGGGCGCGTTGTCCCGGCAATGGGCACCCCAGAGCAGCCAGGGCAGAGCTCAGCAGGAACAGCGCCCAGGGATTCACGCTCAGCGGGTGTGACAGCCACACGTCACACCCTGCGCACACCCGCAGCTCTGTCACGGTCACTCGGAGCTGTCCGGGTGACCCCTTCCCCGGCCGCCGGTGACATCCCCGTGCCCAGCCAGCCCAGCCCGCGGCTCTGCCCGGGAGGCTGTGCCGCGCTGCGGGTACCGGCGGGGACAGCGACACTGGCAGCGACACGGAGCCCGGAGAGGACACGGACACCAGCGGCACACGGACACTGACGGGGACACGGACAGCGGTATGCCCGTGGGAAACACCGAGCCCAGGGAAGGTGGCACTGCACGCCCGCGGGTGGCACTGGGGCCACCAGGCGACAGTCCCTCTCGGGAGCCCGGGCAGGGGGAGCAAAGGGGGCTCAGAGCGAACCCGCCCCTCCCAGCAGCACAAAAGGGATCCAGCGGGGAAAGGGTTAAGGGCTTGCGCTGCAGCTGCAGCCGATCGATGCCTCAGTTCCGCGGGGGACGTGGATGGACGGGACCTCCTGCTGATGAACCGCAGCTAATTTGCGGTTTAATTGGCACCCCTGTGCTCCCCCAACCCCCCTTCTTCTCCCTCGGGCTGCGCTCAGGATCGTGCTTGGGTTCCGGCCGGGGGTTCAGGGTCGGGGAGGTGGGACCCCCCCCGGCATCCCACACACACCTCGGGCACTTCTGGAGAGCAGATCCATCACCGGGGGTCCCGGAACAGCAGAGAAACCTGACCGCCCCTCCAACCCCGGCCCCGAAGCCATCGCGTGTCTGCGGTGTCTGGGGCAAGGGGAATTTGGGGTGCCCTGGGGTCAGACTGGGAGCAGCGTGGTGCCCCGTACCCCCTCCCTGAGCTCAGGACCCCCCTTTGCAACCCGCACCCAAGACACCCCTGCTCCCAAAGAGCACCCCACAACCCCCGGGCCCCCTGCACCCCCAACCCCCGATCCCAGGGGCTCCCTGCACCCCCCAAACCCCGATCCCAGGAGCCCCCTAAACCCCGAATCCTCGATCCCAGGAGCCCCCGCAGCCCCCCAACCCCGGATCCCAGGAGCCCCCTAAACCCCAACCCCCCATCCCAGGAGCCCCCTACACCCCATAACCCCCGATCCCAGGAGCCCCCTGCACCCCCCAACCCCCGATCCCAGGAGCCCCTAAACCCCGAACCCCCGATCCCAGGAGCCCCCGCACCCCCCAACCCCGGATCCCAGGAGCCCCCCGCACCCCCCAAACCCCGATCCCAGGAGCCCCCTAAACCCCGAAACCCCGATCCCAGGAGCCCCCCGCACCCCCCCAACCCCGATCCCAGGAGCCCCCCGCACCCCCCCAACCCCGATCCCAGGAGCCCCCTGCACCCCCAACCCCCGATCCCAGGAGTTCCCTGCTCCCCCAGTCCCCGATCCCGGGATCTCCCAGGATCTCCCAGGGTCTCCCAGGATCCCCAGCATCTCCCAGGGTCTCCCAGGATCCCCAGGATCCCCAGGATCCCCAGGATCTCCAGCATCTCCCACCGTCCCCGGCACTGGGACGAGGGGCGGTCCCCAGGGGATGCAAATTTGGGGGGGGGATTCTGACCAATCAGAACGCAGCGCTCAGCTCTGCCCTCACCACACCCTGGGACAGGGCAGGGACAGGGCAGGGACAGGGACAGGGCAGAGACAGGACAGGGACAGGGCACAGATAGGGACACAGACAGGGATACGGATCCAGATCAGGATCCGGATACGGGCAGAACCATGGGCAGGGCTGCTGCCAGGCTCCTCCAGCTCCGCTACCGCACCCTGAGGAGCTGGAAAAGGACCCAGCTGGCAGCCTGGAGAGGGCCACCCCACATTTGGCACCACTAGGACCCCCCATCGGCACCTCTGGGTCCTCTCTGCCTCCGCTGGGAGCCATCTGGTGGCACCCAGCCCGGGCTGGGGGCAAGAGGCTCCCTCTGCTGTCAGCTGCCCAAGAACACGATGTTTTAATCGGTTTTCTACAAAAACGGGGCTGAGAGATAAAGAAGGAGCAGCTCTGGCAGCGAGGGCACCGCTGGGAGGTGGCACAGGGGGCTTGGGGTGCATTGTCTCCCATGGGTGCAGCAGCCCCAGGTCTGCCTGCGGTGGCACATTTGGGAGCTGCCCAGTGCCCATGGATGCTCCAGGACAGGGGAGCTGGGATGGAGCCACAGCGGGGACACCCAGGCACGGTCCCTGTCCCCAAGCCCCCGGTGGCATGTCACAACTGAGCTCCTGCCCAGGTGCCACCAGGACTCTCCCCGTCTCTCCTCACAGCCGGCCCGTGGTGGAAGATGACGGTCCCAGTGCCCAACAGCACGGCGGAGTCGTGGGCACTGCCAGAGCCAGAGCTGGAGCGCTCACCCTGCCTGGTTGGCATCATCCCCATCGTGTACTACAGCGTCCTGCTGGGGCTGGGGCTGCCAGGTGAGGGGGCTGAGGGGCTGTGGGGCTGGAAAGAAAAGTCCTCAACATGGAGGGAGTTTACCTGCTCCCCCCAGCCTCAGACCTGGCCCCAGTGCCCAGCTGTGCCCAGCCCAGGGCAGTGCCACCGCCGCAGGGACAGATGGTATTTGCGTTGTTGGGCTGGCACATGGAAGGGATTAATCGGCCCAGCAAATCCCCACGGCACGGGGATATTTATAGGTCCCCTCAGCTGGAGCCCGGGCAGCCCCGGGGTCTGGGGGCTGCAGGGGGAGGGGGGCTGTGAGCCCCAGCTCTCACTCCACCCATCGCTCCCCTCCCTGCAGTGAACATCCTGAGCGCCGTGGCCCTGTCCCGCCTGGCCACCAGGACCAAGAAGTCATCGTACTGGTACCTGCTGGCCCTGACCACCTCCGACATCCTCACCCAAATCTTCATCATCTTCGTGGGCTTCATCCTGCAGACAGCCATCCTGGCACGGGCAGTGCCCAGCGCCTTCATCCACACCGTCACCGTGCTGGAGTTCACGGCCAACCACGCGTCCACCTGGGTCACCGTGCTGCTGAGCGTGGACCGCTACGTGGCCCTGTGCCACCCGCTGCGCTACCGCGCCGTGTCCTACCCGCGGCGCACCCGCAGGATCATCGCCGCCGTCTTCGCCGCGGCGCTGGCCACCGGCATCCCCTTCTACTGGTGGCTGGACATGTGGCGCGACGCCGACCCCCCCACGGCGCTGGACACGGCACTCAAGTGGCTGCACTGCGTCACCATCTACTTCCTGCCCTGCAGCATCTTCCTGGCCACCAACTCCATCGTCATCCGCAAGCTGAAGCGGCGGAGGCGCGCGGGGGGCGGCAGGACCACGGCCC